GAGAGAGAGGGAGAGAGAGACAGTGAGAAAAAAGAGAAGGCAGCATCATGCGGTATCCTTTTTGGTATGGAGGATGAGGGTACAACCAAACTGAATAATCAGACTGAAGCTTAACATATTCTGTGGTCTGTGGACCAGCTGAGCAATGAGTTGTTTGTCAGAGTGTGAATGGTAAACAAAAGAGAAGCAGAGAAACACGACAGTCCAGTTAACAAGAAATGGTGGCTTACGTCGCACAGTGTTATCTGTTGTGTTCTTCACAAAGGACGATGGGATGTAAGGTATTCGTGGGGGAAGTGTGTCTGAGCAAATCTGAATGAGCAAGCAGTTTATTGTTTTGTGAGATCTGTTTTTTACCAGAGCATTTCTACAGCCATTGTATGTACAATTGTCAAAAGCCATCATAGTGCATTTTACAGTAATGCACTCGCTTTTAACCATGAGTCAGTCAGAGAGTTACTGAGTGACTGAGCGTGTGACGCCCCTCTGAAGCTCCTATTTGAAAGCAAGCACCTTGATTGACAGCTCTTCGCCATCAGTGTGTGTGTGTGTGTGTGAATGAGAGGCCCATTCACCATTTTACTTTAGATTATGACCAAATACCTAAAAACCAATGACATTTCCATTGACCTCAACGTATGTTTCATCCCAATTAGCAAAGGTTAACACAGCTGACACACAACACGGTAAACATTACTTGCTTGACATCAGGATGGTATCACTAATTGTGAGCATGTTACTATGCTGATGTTAACATTTAGTTCGAAGCACCACTGTGCCTGTTCATAGCTTAACAGAATCATTAGTGTGGCTGCAGGCTTGTGATTTTATTCTCAGAAACAAAAAGTTGAATGTTTACATCTGGTTCAGTGCATGTGCTGAATCAAAATACTACCAAATACAAAGATACAAAAATCAAAGTATTGGGTCTACATGACATAGTAATTTGAAATAAATCTGCAAGTAAGATAATGATCAAGTTAAGGTGTTTACATGACATTTTCATAATAATAATAATCAGGGTATTGCCAAACTGTGCATATAATAGTGTTGGTGTGCAGGTAAAGGCATTGACTAAAGCATGTAGGAATTCATTTGAGCTGTCAAAAAACTGACACAGCTGCACACACACAAGTGTGTATAAGATACTGACACATAACATAAAGGTGAGACAGAGAGAGAGAGAGAGAGAGAGAGAGAGAGAGAGAGAAATGAAGCTGATAGAAAGAAAGCGGTAAATGAGGAAGTTAGGAGCGGATGTTTGGGTTTTTTGAGCCCATTCACTTAAAAACACAGAGAAGAAAAGAGAGAGACAGAGACACCTGAGAAAAACCGCAATGTGTTAAAAACTGAGCACTCACCGGTTTTCCCGAAACTAAGGGTCTCAGAGACGCTTGAGAACAGAGGATTGACGTAAGCGCACAGGCGCATGCTCACCATCACTCACATTATGCATACACGCACGTACGTACATACACACACACACACACTCATGTACATATAGACAGTGTGAAAAAGGCTTGGGGGCTGAGAATGTTTCTTTCTGCAGAATTCACACAAAGTTTCAAACAACCACAAAGCAACAAGGTAGGTAGGCTACTACGCAAGTGAGCCACAGTCTCAAATCATTACAAAGGGGCTAGATGTACTGCAGACTTGTTCATATCAGTTTTTCCTTTTGGTTTTATGTCGACAATTTATTGTAAACACACAGCAAGTGAAGATTGAAAAATAAAATCTGACTATAGGGCACCAGTGTTAGAGAAGCCTCACTATCCATATATATATATATATATATATATATATAGAAAGAGAGAGA